GTGGTGGATTCGTTTTAAAGAAACTATTGATCTCTCATGCTTCACTTAAATTAATTTGAGAGTCTCTTAATAGCATGGTAATTTGCCTAATAATAATATGCTTGGTATTCAAGATTTGTGAAACTTTCTTTTGAGTGTGTTGGATACTAAGAAAAGATTGAAGCATGATAATTGTTTTGAGATATGGAGGTGATAATATTAAAGTCATGCTAGTTGAGTAGTTGTGAATTTAAAGAATACTTGTGTCGAAGTTTGTGATTCCCGTAGCATGCACGTATGCTGAACCGTTATGTGATGAAGTCGGAGCATGATTTATTTATTGATTGTCTTCCTTATGAGTGGCGGTCGGGGACGAGCGATGGTCTTTTCCTACCAATCTATCCCCCTAGGAGCATGCGCGTAGTACTTTGCTTTGATAGCTTCTAAAATTTTGCAATAAGTATATGAGTTCTTTATGACTAATGTTGAGTCCATGGATTATACGCACTCTCACCCTTCCACCCTTGCTAGCCTCTCTAATACCGCGCAACTTTCGCCGGTATCATACACCTACCATATACCTTCCTCAAAACAGCCACCATACCTACCTATTATGGCATTTCCATAGCCATTCCGAGATATACTGCCATGCAACTTTCCACCATCTAGTTCATCATGACACATTCATCATTGTCATATTGCATATCCCGGTACACCGCCGAATGCATTCACATAGAGTCATATTTTGTTCTAAGTATCGAGTTGTAATTGTTGAGTTGTAAAAAAAATAAAAGTGTGATGATCATCATTATTAGAGCATTGTCCCAGTGAGGAAAGAATGATGGAGACTATGATTCCCCCACAAGTCGGGATGAGACTCCGGACGAAAAAAAGAGGCCAAAGAAGCCCAAATAAAAAAACAGAAAGGCCATAAAAAAGAGAAAGGCCATATAAAAAAATAAGAAAAATGAGAGAAAAAGAGAGAAGGGACAATGTTACTATCCTTTTACCACACTTGTTCTTCAAAGTAGCACCATGATCCTCATAGTAGAGGGTCTCTCATGTTATCACTTTCATATACTAGTGGGAATCTTTCATTATAGAACTTGGCTTTTATATTCCAATGATGGGCTTCCTCAAATTTCCCTAGGTCTTCATGAGCAAGCAAGTTGGATGCACACTCACTAGTTTCTTTTGTTGAGCTTTCATATACTTATAGCTCTAGTGCATCCATTGTGTGGCAATCCCTACTCACTCACATTGATATCTATTAATGGGCATCTCCATAGCCCGTTGATACGCCTAGTTGATGTGATACTATCTCCTCCCTTTTTGTCTTCTCCACAACCACCATTCTATTTCACCTATAGTGCTATATCCATGGCTCACGCTCATGTATTGCGTGAAGATTGAATTTTTTTTGAAAAAGTTAGAGTATGAAACAATTGCTTGGCTAGTCATCAGGGTTGTGCATGATTTAAATACTTTGTGTGGGGAAGATGGAGCATAGCCAGACTATATGATTTTGTAGGGATAACTTTCTTTAGCCATGTTATTTTGAGAAGACATAATTGCTTTGTTAGTATGCTTGAAGTATTATTATTTTCTATGTCAATATAAACCTTTCTCTTGAATCTTTCTAATCTGAATATTCATACCACAATTAAGAAGATTTACATTGAAATTATGCCAAGTAACACGCCGCATCAAAAATTCTCTTTTTATGATTTACCTACTTGAGGAAGAGCAGGAATTAAGCTTGGGGATGCCTGATACGTCTCCAACGTATCTATAATTTTTGATTGCTCCATGCTATATTATCTACTGTTTTGGACTATATTGGGCTTTATTTTCCACTTTTATATTATTTTTGGGACTAACCTATTAATCGGAGGCCCAGCCCAGAATTGCTGTTTTTTTGCCTATTTCAGTGTTTCGAAGAAACGGAATATCAAACGGGGTCCAAATGGAATAAAATCTTCGGGAACGTGATTTTCTCACCGAACGTGATCCAGAAGACTTGGACCCTTCTCCAAGGAACAAAAGAGGCGGTCACGAGGGTGGGGGCGCGCCCCCCTAGGGCGCGCCCCCTGCCTCATGGGCCCCTCGTTGCTCCTCCGGCGTACTTCTTCCTCCTATATATACACACGTACCCCCAAACGATCAGAATAGGAGCCAAAAATCTAATTCCACCGCCGCAACTTTCTGTATCCACGAGATCCCATCTTGGGGCATGTTCCGGAGCTCCGCCGGAAGAGGGCCGTCATCACGGAGGGTTTATACATCATCATAGCCTCTCCGATGAAGTGTGAGTAGTTTACCTCAGACCTTCGGGTCCATAGTTAGTAGCTAGATGGCTTCTTCTCTCTCTTTGAATCTCAATACAAAGTTCTCCCCCTCTCTCGTGGAGATCTATTCGATGTAATCTTCTTTTTGCAGTGTGTTTGTTGAGACCGATGAATTATGGGTTTATGGTCAAGTCTATCTATGAATAATATTTGAATCTTCTCTGAATTCTTTTATGTATGATTAGTTATTTTTGCAAGTCTCTTCGAATTATCCGTTTTGTTTGGCCAACTAGATTGGTAGTTCTTGCCATGGGAGAAGTGCTTAGCTTTGGGTTCGATCTTGCGGTGTCCTTACCCAGTGACAGAAGGGGCAGCAAGGCACGTATTGTATTGTTGCCATCGAGGATAACAAGATGGGGTTTATTTCATATTGCATGAATTTATCTCTCTACATCATGTCATCTTGCTTAAGGCGTTACTCTGTTTTTAACTTAATACTCTAGATGCATGCTGGATAGCGGTCGATGAGTGGAGTAATAGTAGTAGATGCAGAATCGTTTCGATGTACTTGTCACGGACGTGATGCCTATATACATGATCATGCCTAGATATTCTCATAATTATGCACAGTTCTATCAATTGCTCAACAGTAATTTGTTCATCCACCGTAGAATACTTATGCTTTTGAGAGAAGCCACTAGTGAAACCTATGGCCCCCGGGTCTATTCTCATCATATCAACTTCATCACTTTTATATTTTTTTGCTATTTACTTTGCCTTTACTTTTTACTTTGCATCTTTATATCAAAAATATCAAAAATATTCTATCTATCAGATCTCACTCTCGTAAGTGACCGTGAAGGGCTTGACAACCCCTAATCGCGTTGGTTGCGAGTAGCTATCGTTTTGTGCAGGTACGAGGGACTTGAGCGTGGCCTCCTACTGGACTGATACCTTGGTTCTCAAAAACTGAGGAAAATACTTCTGCTACTCTGCTGCATCATCCCTTCCTCTTCAGGGAAAACCAACGCAAGCTCAAGACGTAGCAGGGGGAGGGAAGGTGGGCGGCGCGTCGCCAGGGGCCGGTGGATCCAATAGCAGGGCGCGGGGGAGCTCGTCGCCGGGGCGAGCGGAGCCAGGGAGAAGAGGCGTGCGTCTCCATGATAGAGCACGTCGCCGGAGGTGGTGCGGGATTGGGGAGAGTCATGGAATAAGGGCGGGGAGGCGGCTCGCCGGGGGATGAGGGTTGGCAGGGGTCTTGGCGGCGGTGTGGGTGGGGCGGGCAGGCGCCGGTGAGCGGCGCCGGTGGTAGCTGGGGCCGTTTGTGGAGGAGGTCAGTGGCTGGCGACGAGCAGCGTCGACTGGGATCCGGGCGCTGCGGGATCTTGGCTGGGTGGAGGTCGTGGGAGAGTGGGGTTGACCCAGTTGGTTCTGCCTTTTGTGTTCGTTCGAGTTCAGGAAGATCTCATCGGGCCTTTATAGGGCCGGCTGATCCTAGGATCAGAATAGTGATGTCCTATATATGAGACAGCACGATTCTAATCCCAAGATTAGAATAGTTATTTGGATCACGATCATCGTATATAGGACCCGATGGACTAGTTCCGGAACTCCCCAGCCCGTGTAGAAAAAAAAACACTCCCCGTCCACCACCTCCCTCGATCCCCAACCTTTCCCCGATCTCTCTACTGTGAGGCGCCAGCGCCGTGCATCTCTCCCCACTCCTCGATCTCCTAGCACCGCCGCTCCCCACTTCCCTACCTCCCGGCGCCGCCGTGCCCACTTCCCCTGCCTCCTGGTGCCGCCGCTCCCCTCCACCCCGCTTCCCCTACCTCCAAGCGCCACTGCCCCAACCTCCGGCGTGCAACCAGGCTGCCTTCCGCTGCCGCCCCTTGCTCCGGCGTGCCTCCCATCGCCCTGGCTCCGGCACGCCTCCCACCGCCGCACCCCCGGCCCTGGTGCGCCTCCAGCCGTCGCCTTCTCTCCAACACCTGTGGCCACCGGGACCAGCGACGGCACAACCAGCTACAGATCCAGTGGGATTCGCCCCCACTCCTGTCCATAGTTGGGTGGCTCGCGGCAAAACAGGGCCCCCGCGCCAAAAAACGCAGTGTCCACTCCTATGAAAATGCTCCTCCAATATCTTCAGGCGGTGAGTGTTCTTCATGTTCTGCACTTCTGCCCAGCTTCTTCTGAACTTCTGTTTGTTTCATACGTAGTGAATTTGTCCTGAAAATTAGACTATCCATATATTCCTAAAGCTCAGTAAATAGTTAGTCTAGAAACTGGTACTGCTGTTAGTTACTTTTACATGATTCTTAGATGGTTGGTTAGCCTAAATCAGTAGGCACCAAGCACAAAAACTATGAACCTGAAACTCTGCACACTGCTCTAGCAGACAACAAGAGATGCTCTAACTGAAAATCTGAAACTCAATTGTGTCGCGAGTGCCTAACCATGTTCGTCGATGCAGCTCTGATCACAAACTCTTTATTTCGCCTTGTGAAATCGATGCAGGTGTGGGCATCCGGTCGCAGAGAGATGTGTGGAGTGCTGCATTCCGCTCGTTGTTGACCCCGTGGCCGCAAAGGGCCGAGATTATTGTCGTGTGTGGACTGCAGCGACGACCGGATCCGACCTTCACCAGCATCACCATTCTTCCTTCTCCTGTTCACCAACGTGCACCGCCCGTCATGGGTTAAGACACTACTCGGACACTTTGAGGTGCCATCGATGGATGTCGTGTCAAAAAGATTCGCTCTCTTCGGCTTTATTGCTGGGTGGAGCATTGCAACCACTGCTGAGACTGAGACCGGACCTACCTTCCAGGTATATATGCTTGTAATGATTCTCCCAACCGATTCAGCAATCCCTTTTTCCTAAGCATTGAACCTGTTAGACATTACTTACAGCCTAAGACTTGTTTATTTCTCTTGCGCAACCATTAGGCAGAAAATATACCTATAAGATAGATTAAGCCTACAATGCAGTGGTAGATCTCGCTGGTTCTAACAATCTTTTTAACATTGATGATTTTGTGTTGCAGCTTGCACTGGCAGTCGTCTCATGCATATACTTTCTAGACGACAAGATGAAAAACCTTAGCAGGGCGTCTACTACAGGGTTAGTTAGCACCTGCATAGCAACATACATACGAGTACTCCCTTGGTCGTTATTAGTCGCACACATATAGGTTGTTTAATCCTCCTCTGTACTTGCAGGCTTGGACTCTTTGCGAGCGGCTGGGTAGTAGGTTTGCTGGTAGTCCCAGTGATCCCGACATTTATTTTGTCGCGTACTTGGTGTCTGGAGCTCCTTACTTCGCTAGTCGCTTATGTATTTTTATTCTTGGGTTGCATCCACAGGGATCAGACTAAATTTTTGCCTTGTGAGGTTTCTGAATGAACAGGTTTCACTAAATAAAATAGAAGAGTAATTATGATTATTTGTTCCAGACTGCAACCAAGCTAACTAGCTGCCCTTGTTTTTCAGTATGCATAGATTGTTTAAAGAGGAACTTACTTCACTTTTAGTATGATCGGGTTTCAGAAGTAAGCTAAAACAATATGGTTTGCAGCAGGTTCAGGCAGTTCTTTTGTTTCAAGATCAAGATTACTTTCAAACTACAACCATCGTCTACTATTTTGTTGTCCTTTCCATTTCCCCTTGAGTAGCATCGTCTGTTGTTTCTTTCACCAGCATCGTCTGTTGTTTCTTTCACCTGCAGGGTGGCTTGCGTCGGCCGCCGAAGCCCGCCGAGGTGATGCCCTACTTCTGCCTGCGTCTCCCCGCACCCCTCCTACACACCACAAAGGGCGATGGAGAGATCAGATTGTTGTTGTCGCTGTTCTTCTACTACATATTCAGTTCAGAAAAGTTCAGCTTCGCACAGGATGGAAGTTCAACTGCTGGGGGCACTAGCAACAGCGGTGTTTCGCTTGATTGTAGTTTCTGCGTTTTTGCTACTGCCAGCAAATGAGAAGAACGGCCAGCACCAAACTACTACTGCTACTGCTTGTGTTTGCTTGCATAGTTAATTTGGGCGTTACCAGGAAGAAGATAAAGCCAAAAAAATATGGAGTGAAAGAGATAAACGAGTAGTGTGCCTACGTGGTGTGGATAAGAAACGTGTGTTGTGTGAGAGGATAAGGAATGTGTGCGACTATTTAGTGATAAAAATAACTTGTGGTTCAAAGAAAAAGCAAACGTTCTATTTACCTAGTGCTCACGGTCAGCTATAAAGCTTGTATTTTTTTTAACTCTGATTCACACTCGAACTTTATAAAAGAATTGGAAATTATTTTGTATAATGTCATTACTTACTCTAATGTTTTCACTACTTAAAGTACAATGAACGAGAATGGTTAAGGTTCAAAATACGAAATACTTGACAACAAAAGAAGAAAAATAACATTCAAAAAAGTCAAATCTTGAATGAAAAAAATAAAGCAGATTTCATTCAGTCTCTCACATAAAAACACATGGGAAAAAACTTATAAACTTGAAACATAAATCATGTAGGGACAGAAATGAACTTTTTCTCCACATGTTCATGTTTCAGAAATTTCTAAGTTCACATGTGCCAAATACAGAAGAAATTCATCAAATAAAAAGGGACTACACATATAAAGAAATAGATTTTCCCTATTTCTAAAAAATAAAACCAAGAAGGTCAAAATAAAATAATAGAGCAGTTTGATGCACATTAAAAATTTGGAATTTTCTCGTTTCTAGAAAATAACCAAAGCTTTTAAAAGTTAGATTTTCCTCGTTTCTAAAAAATAAGAGAGAAGGCCAACTCAAAATAACAGACCAACTCAAAAAAAGTTTATAAAATGGATTTATAAAAAACTAAAAAAATGAAAGAACCGAGAAGGTCAAAAAACGTCAAAGTTCAAATTTGAAACCCCTAGAAGTTCAATTTGAAACAACCGAGAAGGTAAAAAAAACCTAGAAGTTCAAAGGTAAAAACCTAGAAAATTGTTTGCTTATTTAAAACCATATTTTTCTCTAAGAAGTTCAAAGTAAAATAAGAGAGAAGTTTAAAGGTTAAAAAAACTTAGATGTTTTCTCATTACTAAATAATAAGATGAAGAGGTTGAAATTAAAAAAGGAATTAAAGAATCGACCATGAAGATCAAAAATAAAATATTTCAAAATCATGTTTATTTAAAAATCAAAAACAAAAACTTTACACAAAAAATAAAAAATGTGAAGTTCAAATTAAAATAACACTGAAGTTCAAAGTATATTAAAACCTAGGATTTAGAAGTTCAAAAAACAAAGACAAAAAACAATGTCATTTTGGGCTTTTTTCCCCAATACTAAGGATAAAAACCAAGAAGTTCAATTTAAAAAAATGAAGTAATTCAATACATATTAAAAACTCAGTTTTTCTTGTTACTAAATAATAAAACCAAGAAGTTCAATTTTTTAAAGCAGAGCAGTTTGATATTTATTTGAAAACTCATTTTTCCGGTTACTAAAGAATAAGACCAATAAGTTCTATTCGAAATAATGAAGAAGTTCTATTAAAATAAACCTAGAAGTTCAAATTTAACAAAGGGGCTCGATGTCTATCAAAAAGTAGGATTTTCTCCGTTACTAAAAGAAATAAAACCAGGAAGTCCAAATTAGAAAGATGAAGAAGGTCGGTGATTATACAAAACTAAGATTTTCCTCGTTATTAAAGAATAGAAACAAGAAGTTCAAAAATAAAATAACAGGAAGTTCAAAAATAAAATAACAAGAAGTTCAACTTTTAATAATAGAGTGCTTCAAAATTTCATAATAAAAAGATTAAGAAATAAAACTAGGAAGTCCATATTAAAAAGATGGAGAAGTTCGATCATTATAGAAAACTCAGATTTTTTTCCTCATTATTAAAGAATGGAAACAAGAAGTTCAAAAATAAAATAACAAGAAGTTCAACTTTTAATAATAAAGCGCTTCAAAATTTCCTAAAAAGGATTAAGAAATAAAACTAGGAAGTCCATATTAAAAAGATGGAGAAGTTCGATGATTATAGAAAACTTAGATTTTCCTCATTATTAAAAGAATGGAAATAAGAAGTTCAAAAATTAAATAACAAGAAGTTGAACTTTTTAAAAAAAGCGCTTCAAAATTTCATAAAAAGTATTAAGAAAATCAGATTAAAAATTCATAAAAAACTCAGATATTTTCACGTAACCGAGAGAAGTACAGATTGATAACTGCCAGAAGTCCATGTTCTACACGGTGTGCATTTTATATTAAAAAAGAATAAAAAAAGCAAAGTCTAAAAGTTTTGTTGTTATAAGTTCAAGTCCTCCGTCAGAGAAAGTTGAAAACATTATTGTGAGAGAGGTTTGTACAAAAAGAATATCGTTTGTGTAACACGGACAAATGGATGAGAAAATTACAAACAAAAAAAAAACGTCACAGAAGTTCAACGTGAAAATAGCAAGAAGTTCAACTACTAAGCTGAATGAATTTCGCATGAAAAACTTTTAAAACCGCCGCGAGTATGAAAAAATGATCAACACGGGAAAGTTGTGTGTTTACAGCAGTTTTCCATCGGTATATCACTCGTTGAATTCCGGGGAGTGGATGGAGAGCTACGAGTAGTCGATGGAGATCTGCGAGCAAAAAAAGCACGTAGAAAATAGAGTGAAGTTCAGGTACACGCGCCGAGAAGTTCAGGTTCTTCACGCGGTGCATTTTCGAAGAATCTATTTCACGATAAAGGCAGAACGAATGTTCTCGCCATTTTCGCAATTACTTGAAAACGGATAGGAATCAAAGAAAACCATCAACATGAAAAAGTTTCCCATTTTTCGTATCTTTTCAACGGGATATTATTTGCCCCATTCTGATAAAGTTTGTAGAAATTACGGTGAAAATACGTTTTTCGCCATTTTCGAAACTGACTTAAAACCGTAAAGAATTGGGAGAAACAATACATACCAAAAAGTTTCGCATTTGTTCAAGCTTTCCAACGCCATATCATTTGTTGCATTCGGACGCATGGTTAAAAAATTAGCTCGAAAATACGAACTCGGTAGGACTTGGACCATTTTCTAAATTACTCTTAAACCATTCAAAATTAGAAAAAAAAACTTTCCGAATGAAAAAGTAGCGCATTTTCATAAGCCTTCCAATGTCGTATCATATGCCTCCATTGGATTAGCCGTTTAGAAATGACATCCAAAAAACCAACTTAGCTGTCCGGTTTACAAAATTTTACGTTTTTTCAAATTACTCTTTAACCATTGGGAATTAGAGAAAACTTTCAACATGTGGAAGGAGCAGTTTTGCAGCAGCTTTCCAACGCCATATTATATGCCTCATTCCGATAAAGGTTTAGAAATGCGATCGAAAATACGATTCACGTTTTTTGTGCGAAGAAAAAACGGTTTTCAAAACTGCTCTTAAACCGCTTATATTTTTCCAAAAATTTAAGTTGAGTCATGATATTGGTGTCCATAGCTTTCCAACGATATATCGCAAGCCCCATTTGGGCAATGTTGGCGGAAGTTCAACCTAGTTCACAGGGAAGTTCAATGCACTACTAGCGGGGCAGGTCAGGTTGTGATCAGAATATACGACCGCACTATTATGATCCTGAGATTAGAATAGTTATTTGGATCACAGCAGCCCTATATAGGGGCGATCGGCTGTTCCCGAACACCCAAACACGCAAAAAGACCGGCCCGTTACACTCCTTCGAACGGCCCACCCCCACTCCACGAACTTTCCCCCAACGCTTTCAATGCCCGCTCGCACCAGGAACCCGCGCCGCCGCCGTCATTCCCCAGCAGGAACCCGCGCCGCCGCCGTCGTTCCCCAGCAGGAAGCCGCGCCGCCGCCACCGTCCCCCACCAGGAAGCCGCGCCGCTGCCGCCGTCCACCCACCAGGAAGCCGCTCCGCCGCCGTTGTCCCCCACCAGGGACCCGCGCCGTCGCCGCCGTCCACCCACCAGGGACCCGCGCCGTCGCCGCCGTCCACC